TTGCTAATTCGTTCCGATGGTAATTTGATATTTTTGCTTAAAATTACTATTAGCGTGCATTTAAGCAATCATGAGAAAAGCTAGCTAGCTACAGCGCTGCCAGAGCATGATTGTTTTAGTAGTTGCCGTTGTTTGGATTGCTTCCGAATGCTTAAACCTCTCGTACGAAGCAGTTATGGAGGGAGTTTTGACTTTTGACTTTGGGTTAAAAATCGTGCGGAAATTAAGTATTTAAATTCTTATTTGATGTTTCAAGTTGGCAAATCATTTGTTGTAAGACTGCAATTAATCTGGCAGAGTTTATATGAATTATGCAAAGATGTTTCAGAAATGCGGGTAAAAAGCACGGCAAGGGATTGAAACGGTCAAAGTCAGCCGTTCATCGACAGAAGCATTTCCAAAATCAAATGAAAAAGATGAAGAAGCCTCGCGGTGATATTCGGAAAGGGAAAAAGCAAAAGAAAGGCCGCGGTTCGAAATGATCCCCGTCTATTGGATTTTTTTGCATTTCCGCGTACGTGGTGGACACAGTACGATTCGCTTATGTCTGCATGTGTACTGTCGTACAAATCAGTTATGGTAATCATCAAGTTAGAAATTTCATGAAGACGTAGCTCGTAGCCATCAATGAAGTTATAACTTTGGTCCTAAAAATTATCTCTTCACCGTCTCTCTGCTTGTTTCCTGACCTATGAACAGCCTTCTGAATATCTGTAACGCCATTTCCAATGAAACCACAGACCGGGACTTCTGCAGTTCAGAGTCTTACTCTATTCCAGAAGGATATCGAATCACATTGCAAGTTGTGTTGTAATAATTACAAATTAAAGATCACATTAATTTCATAACTCGAGAATCAAGAATGTTAAAAGATGTAAATTGTATGCGAAAATTTTACGAACAAATAGCATGGAAACAGCGCTTTGGTTTTGTTGCATCCTATTCAGTGATGTTATTCAAATTTCAAGCCATTTTTTCATCATAGAGAAAAGGTTGAGATTTTAAGATTGGGGCTGGTCACATGTGAAAGTGCTGAGAAGATTGGAGTCGACTTTTGAGCCTCAGTATTCTTCGGTTATGACCTCACGTCTATGTATGCTGTGCTGAAATGTAAAGTCATCCATGTGTCTGAATTACTGGTATTTTACGTAAAATCTTATGTGTTGTTATGTGATAAATCCAGTACGTTTTGGCTGGTTTGCAGGAACTTTTATTAATATGAATGTTCAGGAACCAAAATAGCCAAAACATATGTTTGGCAGAAGCATTCTTAATGTCTGTCAATTTCTCGAAATCTGTTTTGGTTTTAATAAAGACTGTTTCACCAAATTTTGCGGTTTTCCTCTTTCAGAAGGGATGCCGACTTCTCAGTCTTTTAGTAGATTATAAAGTTGTCCTAACTTATGTAGAAATCAAATCCGAATTGTTCATTGAATATAAAATTCGAATTGCATCTCGCCAAAACGGTTTTTTGGAATTTAGTGAAGGATTGCATCCATTGATCAGCATAAGTCATTTCTGTGCCAGGGCAGGAGGGAACAGCTCATCTACGGAATAATTTCAAGATACCATTTTCGCATTCATTTTCGCAACAACTAAAGTAGAGGATGTTCGTTGTGCGGTAGTTAATTTGGGGTTCGGCATGCTTTCATAGCTTCTCTTCACTGAAAAGTACTGTAAGTCGTGAATATCTCCTACTTATCGGGGGCATGACTTGTATTGCCGTATTACTTAAAATCCCTCTTATCACATTTCTTGAGTAATAAGACAGTTTGTTGTTCTCTCCACCTGTTGTGTACCTTTTAATCGTGCATATACGGACGGAACTTTACATGCATACACACAAATACGTAGGTCGGAGTCCGTAATGTTTGTAGAAATGGATGTAAAATATGTGGTTTTGAGTTGGCCAGATAATAGTTCAATCATGAATTTGAAAATCCAATGAAATCATATTCGGCCAGTTGAATGCAAGGAAGAATAATACAAAAATAACAAATACAATAGTGATAATGAAGACACTGAAATATGGGTATTTTTGAAGTCAGTGATGTAATAGGAGGATTTGGTGTCAGATTTGAAAGATTCGGATTGCAAGGGGGTATCTTTGGCTTAATTTGACTCCATGAATTGAGCTTTAAAGGGAAGGGGGGGAGGGAAGGGCGGATATGCAAGTTGCTCCTGGTTCAATAGTTTGACTTGAGATAGTTTAGAAACCCTGCTACTATTTCGCAGTTCTGCTGATTCGCGAATATAGGATGCGTGTTCTTATAGGAAGAAATTGGCACTGGAGAACGGAGCACTGAAATTTCTCCAAAGATGCATCTAAAGAGCTGGAGAAGGAGGAGGGGTTTGAATTAAGCGTTAAAGGGAAGGGAACGGGTCAGGATATCATCGTGAGCTTTGGCTTTATGCTTCGATTTGTGCATCTGCTTCGGTAGTAAATTGGTGTCGGTGTGCACCAGGCTACGAAGAATGAACTTGATTTTACAATGCAAGAAAGAAACTCGATTCAAAAACGTTACAGATGAAAAAAAAAAGCTGAAATTTTTGGGTACAGACTGTTTGGAAATTTTTAAAAAAAACAATAGGGAGAAAGTTGTCCAATCAATTCCAGTGCTTGCCACCATATTTCAGCAAATTCTTCAACACCATCATCGACGTCTACGAGGTCAACTTCTAAAGAGCGACTGCTGATATTAGCATCATCAAGCGACAAACATTGACCTGTGATACGGTCCCGACAATAAACCTGCAATAATTCAGTGATAGACACAAGTAATCCATCCGGAAATCGTATTGTGGCGAGGATCTCTTGTGGCCGCTCAAACGCAGGTTCCGTTAACCGAATGCCGAAAACGTCAAACATTATTTCGTAACGTGGATCGGCAGGAAGGACGCATGTCCCCAACACTAGCAGGGTCGAATTATCCGCAAAATGGATGGTTGTATGGGTAGCAAGCTCAACATAACGTTCTTGAGCAGTATGGTTTTCATGATGCGTATCGGCGGCATCTCCAAAAGCCTCTTGCTGAGGACCTGGCGTTCTTGCTGATTGTTGTGTTGAAAATGTACCATTCTGTGGGGAATTTGTTGATGAGTAGGATTCGTATGGTTCCTGCAAAAATTGTGGTCGTTAAGTAGGTGCATTTCTAAAGAATGTATTATTGCTCCTGTTCTCTTCCCTCTTGTTACCTATTTCTACTGGACGGATTTTTAGGCTATTACTTCATTCAGGAAATAAAGAAAACATCCGGATCGCCAGCGAGTTGATCATCAAAAAGAAGCATCACAGGCCGAAGAATGTTAGATGGCTGTATAGCTGAAGGACCTGACTGCAAAATTGAAAGTTTACCCAGATTTTCTTCAAATTTTATATGACTTCCTTAATTATGTATTTTTGCAAAGAACTTCACAACTTTAAAGCCCTTCATGCTTCCGCATTTGTTTGGTGCCCTTTGGTCTTCCGACGTACTGCATCATCAACAGGTTCGTAATATTTTCGTTCATATAAAATAAAAATTTCAATGATTTACCTGTGGAGCTGCTGTTGCGCACAAATTAGATAAGAAAAGCGCAAAAAGTGGAAGACATTTTTTCATTT